GCCGTAGTTAGTAGGCGGGGTGGACAGCGGCCTCTTGAAGATGCACTCATTCTCGTCGAGTTCCATTGTGGTTTTCTTTTTCTTATTTCCTTTTGTCGCCTTTTTTTATTATCTCCTCCGTCTCTTGGGTCGTCCTTTTCTTCTTCTTTTTTTTCCTTTCTTCTTTTTTGTCGTCTTTATTTAGTCTGCGAGTTTTTTCTTTCTCCTTTCTCGAATTTTTTTTTCTTTTGAAGTTTTTTCTTTCCTCTGTACAGATAGATTATTTACTCGTATTGACTTTTCGTCTTTATTTTTTATATTTCCTTTTCTTTCCTCGTCACTTCAGTATTATTGTTTATTGGTTATTTTCCTCAGTTTCTTTCTATTAAAGACCATTCACCGATAGCCTGTTGGTTTGAACAATTTTCGTCTTTGATTTGGCGTCGCGCTGTCAAATTTTAGAATGTATTTTCCCCCATTATCACAAATATTATTAAAAATAATAACTCGTTTTGGCAGAAATTCAATAATTTTGTGAAAATTTGGATCCTTAGGTATAACTTCTTCAACTTCCCTTGCATTCGAATATATCAAAGAAACATTTTAGTGATACGGGGATTATACTTTAAACAGTCAAGAAATAAGGGTAAGGAGGGGAAGGTTTGTGCGGTTAGAAACGTTCGTGTGAATTGTACTATTTGTTTACATCCGTGTGGTCACGTGGCTTCTGGACGGAGACTCGGACCGCGCCTCAAATGTTACCGGGAGAATTGTGGAAACGTTTGTGAGAATGGCGTTAGAATGGCGAGGATCATTCTGTTTTTTTTTTCGGTTTCTCTGTGTCTACCTGTTTATCTGTGACGACCACGCGCATTTGGGGGGAGACAGAGGCACACGCAGACATAGACACCGATAGAGACAGACAGTGGCAGAATCAGGGATTAAAAGATAAAGAAATTGGTTTTGTAATTTCGTCGGCTTTCTGTTCGTCAGCACCCCCCCCCTTGTCTTACCAATGCTAAGTTATAATGCCTCGTCACTGGATGTCACCATAACTACCCGTCACTGTGAGTTATCATGAATTTCCGATACTGTTTTCTCACGGCGTATCCCCGACATTAACCTTATGTTATCACTGTAATCCTCGCCACAACCTTTGGACACCGTAACTCCTCTTACGAAATGCTACAGTGATACGAGAGCACATCCCTGTCATTACGTCAGAAGAGGTTGCCCGTTTGGCGGAAAGTGTTTATTAACTACACTTTTTTGCATAAAAAAGAACAAAAAATCACATGTGGCAAAAAGTGTGTAGGGGGGGGGGGGTTAAGTCACAAAAAAGAAAAAAAAATCACATGTGGCAAAAAGTGTGTATGGGGGGGGGGGGTTAAGTTACGAAGGACCATGTGGGATGAGATGTTCTGATAATGAAAGCCTGTGAGAAAGGAGAGAAAAGAGGGAGAGAGAGAGAGGGAGAGGGGAAAGGGGAGAAGAGAGAGGAGAGAGAGGAAAAAAGAGAGAGAGAGGAAAGGGAGAGAGAAGAGAAGAGAAGAGAAAGAAGATTATAAAAGGGAGAGAGAAGAGAGAGAAAAAGAGAAGAAGAGAAGAGAAAAGGGAGAGAGAAGAGAAAGAAGAGAGAGAAGAGAAGAGAAAAGGGAGAGAAAAGAGAAAGAAAAAAGAGGGAGGGAAAAGAAGAGAAAGAGAAAGAAAAAAGGGGAGAGAGAGAAGAAAGAGAGATGGAAGGAAGTAAAGAAAAAAAAGA